TCACTCTGAGTAGCAACATCTTTAATGACTAGCTTCGATGAATTTCTAATGGCTCTTGTCGCATAGTTAGAAAACTAGGAACATTTTTAGAAGTAAGTGAATTTGTCTACATTTTGCATGTTATTAGTCTATATTCTTTGGTGTATTATTTAATTAAATAAAAATTGTTAAGTGCTTTACTATAATCACTAAAAAAATCAGGCTCAACTCTCATTGACAGTCAAGGGAAGAAAAAAGAAGGTTGGGTAAGTACTTTATTTCTTGTTTTTCATATTTATTTTTTATTTATTATTATAAAAGTAACTAAAATTAAAAGTATGCATCCTTTTAAGTTATTTAAGACTAGAATAGGTAAAATAAGTAATAATATAAGCAGCTCGTGGGTGGTGCAATTCGATAGTGTAATGTGAGCAGCACGTTCCCCAAGTGATTTACAACATATAATGGCGAGGATGGCAGTTAGACTCGGTTCATAGGGCTATAAAACAATAAAATTTAATTATAAATAGATGTATAATGTTACGAACTTATAGCTACTTAGGATAAATGAATGTAGTTTCATGTTACAATTTGAAGTCATACTAGTAAGAAAAGAAGATTAATTTAAGTTTATTCCGATTTTTTTTTTTTTTGGTGGTTACGAGGTCGGTCAAATTGACCAATCCTGTTTTGAGATTAGGGTAGAGAAAATAACAATAAACTATAAGGATTTAGTTAAAAAAAACGTTTGAAATGAATTTAGGAGGTTTTAGGGATTACACAAAGGAAATTTGAGATTTTTGAGATAGCAAAAAGTATTTTTAATTTTAACATGAAAATTACTTTGCACACAGACTATTCAAAACAAATGCTCAAAACTTTATTTTATTAAAAGTACTTCACTAAGAAATATGACTTTTTGTACGTGAAAAACTAATATTTACTGAAAGACTGCCAAATTTTGTGAAGATATACCCAATATATAGAGAGTTACAAGTATTAAATTGGTGTCAACTTTAAACGAGTACAGAAGGTCACGTGACTTGGTTAACGACTGCATGGAGGAAGTAACTGATTGCTTCATTCAAGCAGCTGTTCATTCTATATTTAAAACCTTGACATGTTTCCCACGGTATCCTTGTCCATGGTGGTCTCTAGCTTATCAGAAGGCTCAGAAACGGACCTGGGATACTTTTTGCAGGTATCCAACTCTTTCCAACCACATTGCTTTCCAGCGGGCCTATGCCCATGCTTAGCATGTCAGACATCAAAGCCAAAAAGAATCTTGGATTAAGTTCACTTAAGTTCATCTACCATCTTTTCTACCACCAGTTCCAAAGTCATATGGGACAAGATTCTTCCCATCCCCTTTCCATTTTGCTCTCCAATGGCCAGGAAGTCACTGATGTACAGCACTTCTGTTTCTTCCCCCGTCTTTCTTGGCCATCAAGTCTCAGGCAGAGAGATCACCTCTTTCATTTCAGGCTGATTGTCTCTATGACTATAATTGCCCCCTTACACTGGTGGAACTCAAACTTGCTCTTCATCCAGTCTGGCAGTACATAGGTCGAACGTGATGATGTTCACTATAAGATGCTGCACTATTGCTTTCCTGCCTCTCTTGCTATTATTCTGGATGTGGCAGGAGAACATTCTTCCTGATGCCTGGCACCAGGCTAATGTCCTCCCTTTCTCTAAACCTGGAAAGCATCCCAAGATTCCTTCTAATTATTGTCCAAATATCTTTGACTAGCTGTGTCTGTAAGGTCTTGGAGAGAATGGTTAATGCTCATCTTGTTTGGTTCCTTGAATTAAACAATCTCCTCTCACCCACCCAGTGTGGGTTCCTTCAACAGCACTTCCCCTCAAGAGGGAACATCTTGTTTCTGTTTTCTTAGATCTTGAGAAGGCTTATGACACTACGTGGAGGTATGGCATTTTGCGGGACATCCACTCATATGGGTTTGCGTGGTCATCTACCCATTTTTATTCAGAACTTTTTTACTCGACAGGTGATTCTGAGTCCATGTGGGTTTGACACTTTCCTGTTCTTTCACACAGAAACTTGAAGTCCCTCAGGGCTGTGTCCTGAGTGTCACACTTTTCAGTATCAAGATCAGTGCTATCACTACACAACTTCCTTCTGTTGTTGCTAACAGACTATATCGATGACTTCCACATCTCATGTAGGTCATCAAACATGAGTTTTATTGAGTGGCTGCTTCAGACTGCCCTCATTCAC